CTGTTCATGCTCACGATGACAAATAGCCACCATTTTTTCCATCTATACTTGTAATCTGTGACTGTCCACTGGTATTCATCATAATACAAAATTTGCTGTGTCAGTTCACTTCATGAGACAAACAGACTACTACCTACTCCACCAGCTAGATCTCTCTGGAGAGACGGACTGGTGTCTGACAGAAATATGTTTGTCGGGATAAAAAGACATTTTTCTCATCTCGCTCATTTCTTTGTTTTTTCTCTCCCCTCCTGGTTGTATCTCGCTCCTCTTTTCTGCCTTCCCCTCTCCGTCTCTCTACAACTGTCTAATTAATGACGTCAAACTGTTTCCTACACATACTAAAAATCATGACACACGTGTTAAAGCAGAAAATATGACAGAAAACAGACATACAATGCTGGAATCCACACTTCACAATGTAAACAGCCAAACGATAAACCTCAAATATTATGGGGTAAAGATATCCATTGTCTTACCATAATGTCTTTGTTTAGCATACAAATCATATTAAATGTACATTATTGTCATTATTAAGGTATTTGTATGTAGTAGAGCCTCTTGTTAGACTTACAGCAGTAGTGAGTTACCTTTTTTGTGGATCAAGTGCATTAAAAAATCCTTCAAAACTCTGCTTTATGTAAACAATGACAATTATAAAGAAACATAAGAGGTTCTCACACAATATACAGTGAATACTGGTGATATATTCCTTTTCTGCTGATTTCACAATAAAGAAATAAATAATTTAAAGGTTTTGCTTAATAAACATAGGCTGGAACGTGTCCTCTGTCTGCGCCAGCAGTAGTAGCACATGTAGTGTAGTAGTAGGTGTTTCTATAAGCTCATACCATGTTACAGTGCGCAGGGGATGAGATGCATGTTGAACTGTGAGAAGAAGTCTCAACTTGAAGTGACACAAGGACTCGTTTTATAATCAGAAGTGACAGGAGCTGTCACTACAATAAGTACACATATTCAGTGTTCTGCCAATGGCTCCAGCCAGAGAAGACCCACAGAACATAAAACCCTCAAATGCTTCCAGGACAGATAGTTTGTGATTATCTGTACATTCCCCTCTCCCAAAGCCCTGTTGGCTTTTCATAGAAAACATCAAAGAACAGTAGTGTATGGGACAAAGGCAAGTATCCTGCAATGAAGACAGTAAAATCAGTCCTGTAATATTCTAATACGAATGTTTATTTACCACTTTCTCAGATCATTAAACCAGTCACATAGAATAAATCAGCTTATATTTTGATCTAATCACCCTGTTTTCAGTGTGACTCAGTACCGTCTGGTTTTTTTTAATGCCATGAGGTGTTACTCATCTTGCAAGAGTGGTTTCTATCAACCTGAGTTTCTTTAACTTGTACAGTACTAGACCATTGTTTGTGTTTCAGCATTTGTATGTGTGCACATATGGGTCTCTTTCATACCGTATGTTTGTGTGTGAGATAAATCAGATTCAATAGCAAACCTGAAATCAGCTACTTTAACCTTCTTACCTTCAATGTCCACATGTGTATGCTGTCAGTGATTCTACATTAGACACACAATGGCCCTATGTATGGAAGGATATATTTTCATTATTCATTACATGTAGCAGAGCAGCAGTGTGTATATTGAATGAAGTACTGTAATAAGTACTGTATGTGTTCCGCATTAATCAGTCATTAACCATTTGTTTATAAGACATCTTTGTTTTCATGCTTATGAATCTTCAAAATGTAGCAACACACCTGTAACACCAGTGCAGACAAAACTTTCGAACCTGCAAGTCAAAATCTAGGTGGTGCTAAATAAATTCTGAATCAGTGACACCCAACACCTGTTTCCTCTCTTCAGCCGGTTTACATGTTTTTTCTGTTTCTGCCATTAACTGTCTGGTCTTGTCTTGGTGTTGTTGTGGCTGGTGTGTGTTGTCTTCTAGGCTCATGTGACTCAGCGCTGACTTGTCCGTCAGGTCAGTATTGTGGGCTCTGAAGCCTGAGGAATATGGCTCTTTAATAACAGAGTAAATATGATGCTTGTATACATTCTTGTGTACACTTTGCTTATTTCCTCAACACTTTGTTTGTGCGTCCTCATCAGCCGCAGTGGGGTTTCTTAAGACATTGCAAACAATGTGACCTTCCTAAGCCTTAAGTTACATGACTGATGAATATTTCTGGCTAACCGTGAATCAGCAGAATTCTTGAATATTTTAGCTAAATTTGGATAAATTGAAGTAGCTGACCCCACTGGCAGATTTTAACGTTTAGGACACAATTATATAACTTGTTAGTTGCCTTTTTTTGCACTGTGGTGGTGGTTGTGCGTTGCTGTTTCTTCTTTTCACGTCCTTGTGGTCATTGTGTTCAGGGAAACTGCTGTGTCGTTGTGGCCTTGCCGGCAAGTTTCTAGTCGTCTGTGCTTTTCCAGTGCTGTTGTGGCTCCTCTCAACTTTATTTCTTCTGTGTCTCGTAGTTTAGACGTGTTGTATGTGCTGTTCTCTGTAATAGAGCTGTGTTTATACATGTTACTGTATATTAACAATTCAGACCATTAGCATTTCATTTTTATGATTGTCTAGATTAGCTACTGTGTGTGTTCACTCTAAAGTTGTGTTTTTGTGTTTTACTCATGCAAGTGTGTCAATATCTGTGAGATCTTGTCTTGTTTTTGACATGACGCTTGACTTTTGTCACAAACTGCAGATTTGACCTTGGTTATTTTTTGTTCATGTCCACTAAAAATGCTGCCTATGAAAGGGAGGTTGCTTCTGGCTGACAAAGCCAAAGATAAATAATAAAATATTACATTTGTACTGTATTGAGTGATGCATAGTCAGAGCTTTCTGCAATCTGTTTATTTGGTGTAACTGGCACCATGATTAGAAATGAAGTAGAAGTGAACTGTCAGGATTAGATGACCAGCTCTAATCTCAGGGACAGAGAGGAGAATGAAAGGAGGCATGGAGGGTGCGGTAAAAAGATGAGGAGAAGGAAAATGGATTCCAGGCCTGACAACAACATGAACACAAACTGGTAGAGAATGAGTTTCTGGAAGGTGCGGCAACATTTTTCATGTTCTACTAAATGTGATCAGCTCATGGCTCATGCTGTTGTTGCGTCAGTACACACACACACACACACACACACAGACACACCCAAAACGACCAGCACTGATTAACAAACACATATCGCAGATGATCAATGCAGATAGGTTCATGAAGCAGCTGGTTCATGCGGTGGTGGAGTCATGAGGGAAAAGGAGGATGGCTGCAGGTGGAGAATATGATCAGTATAACAGCCCATATAACACAACATAGCACACAAAAAGAGAACTGTAAAAAGGAGTCCACTGTAAAATTTGAAATGGCTTTAGGCTGTAGAATGAAAGTCATAACATACATTAATAATATAAGGAACTCATGCATAATATGACATACAGTACTAACACCTTGGGTCGTTATGTTGAAGAGGCTCTTGTGAGTGACTGTTTGAAGTCCGGTCTCGCAGTGCTCTCAGGCTGAGTAACGTCTAGCTCTCATGTTCAAAGCCAAGAGATGAGTAAGTGAATAGCTCATATTGCTACCCAGACACTTTGTCGTGAGCTGCAAGAAGAGAAGAAAACAGAGGCACAGAGAAAACAAAATTAAAGGAGACTATTGGAATTTAACTACATTCATGGAATATTTACAACATATGTAAATATTCTTCTGTATTCAACAAATATCGGTTAATGAAACACCAGCCACACATATTTTTGATTCACTCCTACACTGGCTTCAGAGAAGAAAGGCCTCACTTGTCGAAAATGTAAAGTGCTTTAGTGGAAGGACAGCTATTTCTGATAAAACTAATATATAGTTATAGGTTGCTACTGTTTTTTTTAAAAGGGAGACAGAATCTGGGTGGTCCAGTATAAACTGTGGAAAATAATTGTTTAATACCTTTAATTTAGAGTGTCTAAGGAGCTCGACTGAGGAGGTCATCCTAAATGTTTAGAGAAAATAATGGTAATAAATCAGAAGTATAACAGGGTGCTGATATCGAAAAAAAGAGGAGGGAAAGGAGTGGAGGAGTGTGAGTGGATAGGGGGGATAATGTCAAAGACCAAATGATGAGTTCATGTCAATTATATGATTTGTTTATTAGATAAAACCTAATACAGTGCATGGTTCACACAAACAGCACTTTGGCTCCTGATGCATCGGCACGGATAAGTGACATGAGGAGAGAAGGAAAAAAAGCGTGTCTCTTGTTAAAGGACAGGCGTATCTTTCAGCAATCCAGTATAATTAAACCACTTTGGAATAACAGCTCGAACAGATACATCATTTTGCCGCTGACAGGGTGGAGAGAGGGTCAAGAGCGCCGTACAATACGCAGTATTTTTCTCCTCGGGGCATTGGAAACATCTCATTGTGTAGGTCAGCCGTATTACACTATTGGCTGATGAATGGATTCAGAGGTGGGCGTACAAACACTGACACACACTGAGACACAAACCACAGGAGCTTTCCTCTCAGATCAGACGGGCAGACAGCGGAACTCGTGGCGGAGTGTGCTTGGCTATGAACGCCTGCCAAATTCTTAGTGTGGGCGAAGCTCAACTGACATTTTTAGCCTCTTATAGAGGGCAGCAGAGCTGATGAACGTAGTATCGTATTTCCTGAATATAGCCTTGTGTCTTACCTGAAAGTGATTGTTATATTATTGTAATGGATATAGATATGTAACCTGACTGGGGCTTTTAGTGTAACTGCATCCTGATATGGTGGACTTGTTGATAATCTTGGAGGAACAGTTGATGTTGACCAAGCTTTTGTGTATTTTTAGCATTTGTGTGTATTTCAGACCTGTTGGTGATGGTGTAGATGTGCAGTTTGTGTTCTGTTGTCTTTAGCTTGTCACTCTTGTATTCTCTCTGTATTAGATGTTGAGTTTTGATGTACTAATAATTATGGTCTGTATTTGCTCCTTTTTGACAGTCCTCCGTTTTGTTCATTGCAGGCCGATGCAGCCACCAGCTTTCTGCGTGCAGCTCGTTCAGGGAACCTGGACAAGGCTCTGGACCACATCAAGAATGGAATCAACATCAACACAGCTAATCAAGTAAGTTTTACTCTCAGCTCTCAAGAACTCGTCGCCAAAAAGCTGTTTGTGTGTCAGTGGGAGTAAAACAAGAGGCCACCCACAGATTTCAATTAACAAAACAGTAAATTAAATAAAGGGCTCAATAAAAAACAATTACAGGATTTATTCAGTATTCACAGTACCTGACAAAAAATAGCAGCCTACACAGGAGTACCTGTTCTAGGCATCACACTTAATCCAAAATTACTTCTTTTTTTAAATATAAAACATGCCAATCATGTGTTGTTTTTTTGTCATTTGGATCTTGCTATTTTTGTTTTATTTACACTCTGAAAAAAGCAAAAACTGTGAAAGAGAAAAGAGAAATTAAATGCAAATACAATAATCTTAAACATTACCAGAGGAATATTACTTTGCATTAATAATATTAGATACAAGTAGATTAACTCTTATTGTGTTATACTTTTAGCCAAGTTAACCATTGAGGCAGTCATTTGTCTTGTATTGTATAGTAAAAAATTAAAGAGTTATGATGAGGCCATGCACTCACTAGCAGAGAACAAGAGAACTTTATTGCTTGAGTTGTTAATGTTCCTCAGGAGAAATGTCCACAGGTGCAGGTCTACATGATATTTTTATACACTACAGGAGGGCAGAAATTCATTATACTTTATAAGTCATTTTTCTTGGAACCACCCTCTAGTTGATTCTGTCATGCCCTGGGGCGGCATATTGGAGAAAGCAAAGAGGTTGTCTGGTTGCACTGGTCCCTTTGCTCAGTGCCTTCTGGCACTCTTTTGGTCTGAGCATAAAATATTATACGCTGAGAAACACAGCTGGCTTTGGGCAAGTATATGTGGGTCGGACCACGATGAGTACACAGTCTGATATTCTTAGTGAAGATGCTTGATATAATGTTGTTGGTAACAAATTTAAAACTTAAAGAACATTCCAAACTATCTTCAAAATTCCGAGTATGCAGCCCTTTTTAGCCAACTGTGGGAAAGTAAAAGGCTTTTCCCGCAGTAAGGAGGTCATGATTATGAAACATTGAATGGAGAATGGGATGTAACAACTTCATTTTATTCCTTTGAGAAAGAACAAACTGTACAAAATTTTGTTTGTCTTTAAAGTAACTTGAAGAGGGATTGGATGCACCACATGATTTCAGTATATTCTCAATAGAATGCCATTCTGCAGTGTCAGCAAAGGGTGTAAAACAAAAGACCAAAAAGAAAATTAAAAATTTACGACTGCTAGACCTCCTGATTCTCTATCTTTGTGTTAAGTGGTGCGTATAAATAATTAAGCATATTAGATTATAGTTCCCTCAATCTTCATCCCTACTGTCTGCTTGCTTACACCTTGTTGCATCATGACCATAACACAACAAATTCAGGCAATTGAATGTTACAAGTTATAAATGTGAATGTGTAAATGTGAATGTGTGTGGTTAGGACACACACACTAGCTTGCCAGTGTGTTGTCATGTTAAGGACAGCTGTGGAGTGGGAGTGATGTTTGGTGAATGAACGGACAAGTGCTTTTAGACAAAACACTGCCGGTGAGATGAGCATTAAGAATGAACACCAAGCTCCCTCAATCTGTGTTGATGCGTACAGCACACACACACACACACACACACACCCACCTACACAGGCACCAGAGAGAGAGACATAGGAGGACAGATGATTATTGAATCAAATGTACATTTTACACAATTATCAAGGGTTGTTAACATCTTTGTATTAAGTTGAATCAACTAAACAATAACTCTTGATATGAGCTACAGTAATTGCAGATGGTATTTTTATATGAGATTTATGTGATTCTGTAGCAACAGCCTGTCCTTGCTATAGCTATAACAACCCTGCAGGCTCCTCTTGGTGTTCTCTCACTCTGACTCTTGAGGTATCTAACTACCAACCATTGTTGCTGACTGTGAATGCATAAATGAACATAATTCACAAATGTAGGTGTGTGCGGAAGGGGTGTTAACAGGCATTGAAGGTGTTATTTTTATGTTAAAAAACAAAACTGAATCTCACTGTGTTAGTCCCATATGTGCAATGCACACATTCACACACTATATTTAACAGTGTGTGTAATTGCCACGATACACAGTTTGCTTCCGAGCACTGTGCGCATGCTCACAGAGAGACTGTGTTACCCATTTGAATTGAGTGACACCGCAGTATGATGGGAAGCCTGAGAACATTGTGGATAACAGAGACTCCTGGTGGTTTGATTTGTTAGAGCAAGCATGTTGCAGCTCAGACTTTTCTCATACAATGTGTAGGCAGCCCGAGAGACAGACAACTAGACAGACAGACAGACAGCGTTGAGATTGTTCCCCGCTCTCTCCCTTACTCATCAGTTCCATCGGGTTGCTCAAGAACTGAGCCGTCCTGCTGCTGTTGTGGATTTATTAGTTATTTTTAGAGGTACAGTAACTAGACGAGTGATGTTCTGCACAGCTGGGGAAAATGGGCATATGTTACAGTCCTCCCAGGGCATGAAACTCAACATTGATACAGTGTGTCTGTTTTTCTCATCCTTCCTAAATATCCCTCAGTTAAGGGCTTTCATTTCAAACAGATGGAATAGGAACTTGGGTGTCTGACGACGTTCAGCAGCAGAAGTCAAACACATCGCTGACAGACCGCTGCACTAAAAGCACACTTTGTGTTAAAGGTTGTGGTCAAGACCACAATGATCAATGCCAAGGAGAGGACAAGGCCAAAAGTGGCATTGGATGGATGTATAGAGAGTTCTGATTTCTATTCCATTAATTGATTTACGAGTGTAGGATGCTTTACATCTCCGTGTGTATATTATTACACTAACTCTCACCCCCACAACTTAACTCATTAAGTTGTCCTGAGAGAGGTGCTATCACTTTTCAGTTAATGGACTGTGATTATAATAATCCTGGTTATTAACAGGATTATTATACTATTACTGAAGAAAAAGAATACAGATAATCCTATCTATATATAATCCTCCAGAAAATATCTGTACATGTTTCTTCTAACTTTGATGTAACTAAATCTCTCTGTTTTCTCCTTCAGAATGGTCTCAACGGGTTACACCTGGCCTCTAAAGAAGGTCATGTTAAAATGGTCCTGGAGCTACTACATTCTGGCATTGAGCTGGAAGCCACCACCAAGGTACTTTGTTCTCTCTGTATGCTTAATAATGTAAAGTAGCATTTCACACTGAACTGAAATGAATAAAGCCCCACCACCTTTCTTAGCTTTAACTTAACCCAGAGCTAGCTAGCTAGGTATACTAGCATACCTGTAACCGCTAAAAATAACTAAGGGTCATCTGCACAGACCAAGAATTAAGATCATGTTACACCACCAAAACTGGATGATCAGGATTTCTACCAAAACTGTATTTGTAAGCATTATTGAGTTTGGGTATTTGTTGTCATAGGGGATGGGAAAGGCTGGGGTTTTGTTAAGGGAGTTTGATTCTTTCTGAAAAAAGTACAGAACTTATTAGTTGTTAAAAGAATCAAGTACTTTACTTATTATTATATTATTATATGTGCGATGTTCCCTTAAAACCAGTTTGTACCAGGGATGTACCAGGATGTTTTTTTTTGTAAATCAGTTCTTTCAGAAAAATTCAAGATACTTCTTTCATCATAACGGTTGTCTTAATGCTCGCAGTGTAGGCGTTTTGCCTCTAAATGAACTCAATTGTAAATACTAACAAAATTGTGCCGCTTTTATCACCACAGTTTTTTATCTTTTATACTGGATGAATACAATACACTAGCTGTATTTCAGTGTGGAGTTCTCAGTTTAGAGATCTAGGCCATTAGGTTGCAATCATTTTCCTCTCATTCACTCTAATTTTCCTCTCTCTCTCTCTCTCTCTCTCTCTCTCACTCTATGTTTTGTGTGTGTGTGTGTGTCTATGTGTGTGTGTGACCTCCAGAAAGGGAACACAGCTCTCCATATTGCAGCGCTAGCAGGGCAGGAGAAAGTGGTGGCGGAGCTCGTCAACTACGGTGCCAACTTAAATGCCCAGTCACATGTGAGTCACTGCGAGCTGTGTGCAAGAGACGAGTGTGGAAGCCTGTGTGTGTGTGCAAACATTTGTGTATTTCTGTGCTTGCATTATGTGACACGCCTGCTAAAGAGTTGTCCATATATCTACATGCAGTATCTGTACAGGCGAGCGTGCCCATATTATTGTAACTATACATGATGTCCTTGTGTCCTAACAGAAAGGGTTCAGCCCTCTCTACATGGCAGCACAGGAGAATCACTTAGAGGTGGTCAAGTTCCTGCTTGAGAACGGTGCCAATCAGAGTCTCCCAACCGAGGTACGTGTCTCTTCTAACTGCCTGCTTGATTGTGAATTTGTCCAGACCAGCAATACTGATGATTAGTAATTACCTCCTCTAACATCAAGTGTGTCTGTGTGCTGTCACACATTGCATGAATGATATACTGTGAGACACAGACTGTTACATTGTAAGATCAATCCTCTTACCAAGTAATTTTGTCTGAAATTGAATTTTAGGGCCACAAGTAAAATTACTTGAAAATGCTATAGCTGTCCTTTGTGTCACCTATAATTACTGAATTAACTAACAGAATATACATTCTTTAATTGTATCTGCTCATAGAATATATATATATATTACATGATGTCCAATTTACTCTGTCCCCTTTTCCTTCCCTCTTCCCCATTCCTCCTGTCTCGCTCCTGCCTCTTCCTGACCTACCTACCTCCTGTACTTCTCCCGTCATCACTCCATCTCTCCTTAACTTGCTGTCTCCTCTCTCAGGATGGCTTCACTCCCCTGGCAGTAGCTCTCCAGCAGGGCCACGAAAACGTTGTGGCACTGCTCATCAACTATGGCACCAAGGGCAAGGTCCGCCTCCCCGCACTGCACATCGCTGCACGTAACGATGACACACGCACCGCCGCAGTTCTTCTGCAAAACGACCCCAACGCTGATGTTCTCAGCAAGGTATTCAAGCTCACTGCGACTGTGTGTGCTGGTGTTTACTATACTATGAAAATACAATCAGCCAAAAAAAAAAGCTCTAAAACACACTATTGTGTAACTGATCTCTTTAAGTTTAGGTCCCGAGCTGTCGTTTAATCTGTGTCATGCACATAGTTTTTTATAGTTCTATAAATAGATTGTAATTATCCTTATTTACACTTTTATTCTTGCACTTTCCCATTGCGTCTTTTTCTCTGTAGACCGGTTTCACACCTCTCCATATTGCAGCCCACTATGAGAATATGAGCGTAGCCCAGCTGCTGCTGAACAGAGGAGCCAATGTAAACTTCACCCCCAAGGTCAGTTTATCTCAGCTGCAGGGTCTGAGAGGAACAATGAATGTCGTTCAAACACTGTGTGTTGAGAAAAGAACATTTTGATGTCTTGTTGTACTTGCAATACAAATGGTATGGTTTTGATTATTACAGCTGACTTATTTCTTGCCCTTGCTTCTCTAGAATGGCATCACGCCCCTTCATATAGCCTCCAGGAGGGGCAATGTGATGATGGTCAGACTACTGCTGGACAGAGGTGCACAGATCGATGCTAAAACTAAGGTAGTGTACTGTCCAGCTCCGGGATTTTGTCACTTATGCATGTTTAACGACTTCCCAGTATCTATTTCCCCAATCTGTCTTCCTTTACTGCTGATTTGCTTATTTCATATGTGGTTTAACACCTCTTCTTAAAATCATCTCTTCATAGGATGAGCTGACTCCTCTCCACTGTGCAGCCAGGAATGGTCATGTTCGCATTATTGAGATCCTGCTGGAACACGGTGCTCCCATCCAGGCTAAGACCAAGGTAGATGAATGTAATGAAATACTGCAATCACTGTGGTTCTCTTTTAGCCATTACTGTCTTTTAGCAGTGATCATTAGGGCCTATTGTTATAGTTAAGACTTGTGAATCTCCATCTGAATCTTATGAAATAATCTACTACTGAATGAGATTCCATCAGAAAATCAGCATATAAACCAGCTTGCTAGAAATGTACAGATGTTCATTCAAGTTTTTTTAGCGCAAAGCGTTGATTATCTCCCCTCGAAGGACTCTACTCTGCTTCCCCCAAAAAGAAAATATGACTATGTGCTACACATGCAGCATTATACATTCACAGGGCTTTGTTCTTGGCAACACTGAGAAATCTCAAACTCTCCTCCATCTTTTCTTCTCTTTCCCTAACTTTTCCTGCCTCTTTCTTTCGCTCTTACAGAACGGTCTGTCCCCCATCCACATGGCAGCTCAGGGGGATCACATGGACTGCGTCAGGCAGCTACTGCAGTACAATGCTGAGATTGATGATATAACACTGGACCATTTAACCCCTCTTCATGTAGCAGCCCACTGTGGTCACCATCGGATGGCCAAAGTCCTACTGGACAAGGGGGCCAAAGCCAATGCACGTGCTCTGGTGGGTTCTTTGATTGTTTTGTTGTTCCTTTAAATGACTTTCAAGAGTTCATTAACATGGTCACAGTGACTATCTAGTGTCTACTGTGATCTTCACGTTGAATGGAAATAAATGTGGTACTGATTTACTTATTAATTTACTGTTAACAGTATAATTTACTTATCTATCGTGAAATTTTTGCTAATAGTGTTCATGTTGCTCAGTTCATAAGGGTGTGAATATTTATTTTTTATTTAACTGGAGATGTGAAGAAAACCAATCTTGTGTGCCTACTTTAGTGTTTCAGTCTGTATTCATTTAGCAATGCACCACAAACAGTTATTACTGTGGGGAGACAACTGTGAAATTAAAGTAATGCTGTAATAAAACAAGATCATTTTGAAACTTTTAGTAGAACAATCTTTGGCTCAAAAGCCATAAAGCGATTCTGGCTTTAGGACTCGACACATTTCTAGTCTATTTGAGATCTTTTTCCTCTGTGTTTCCAGAATGGCTTCACACCTCTCCATATTGCTTGCAAGAAGAACCACATGCGGTCCATGGACCTGCTGCTTAAGCACTCCGCTTCCCTAGAAGCTGTCACAGAGGTGAGATGATGCGACCACCAGGCACAGAGTCTGAAGTTTACACCAAGTGGAATTTATAAAGCATTCATGTCTTTTGTAAAACATATGTTTGTATTTTGTGTGGCTTATATAGTTTTGAAATTACAAGAAACCTATTTTTTTTTATTGATACAACCCCTGTATAATATCTGTGACATGGTAATGTGGAAAAAGATGGATAATGAACTAGAATGCCTCTTGACTTCTCTATAATGCATTGATATTGAGCCTTGACTCTGTCTGTGTCTGTGTGTGCAGTCTGGTCTCACTCCTCTTCATGTAGCAGCATTCATGGGCCATCTGAACATAGTGAAGAACCTGCTTCAGAGAGGGGCTTCACCTAATGCTTCCAATGTGGTGAGAACCCCTTTTTCTACCTCAAAATTAAGCTGGTCCTTCCTAATTTCTTTTCTCTTTTAAATGACTTTCTAACATTGCCAGATTAGTGAATGGATATTTTGTTCAGATTTATCACAAACGGTTACCCCTCTCTGTGTTCACATTTTAAGAACTACGCATTTTTTCCCACACTGAACCCAATATTGTGTAGGTCAAACATTAAACAATTAGCCATAGACGGATTAATACTTTTTTGCAAGCACAGAAACCCAGTGCTGTTTAAAGAGACATTGCTTAATGAGCATGGATTGTTTTTAAATGAGCTAGTCTGAACCAACCAGGGACCCTGATATGAACAAGGTGGATTTAAACAAGATTTTGTCAAAAAAAACAAACTTGGTCAAAAAGTTATAAAAATAATGAAATTAAAGATTAAAATGACAAATCGTGTTTTTCTGTATGGGCTAGAATATGCCTAGAGGTATTTGGCTTACAAATTGAACCTGTCACTGTTCAGCAATATGTAGTAATTGATTAATTAATTGAAAAGTTCAGTTGCAGTGTTGTACTATTATGTACTTTGAGTGACTGCTTGCATGTATTTTTCTACACCAGAAAGTGGAGACTCCCCTCCACATGGCCTCCAGAGCAGGACACTGTGAAGTTGCTCAGTTCCTGCTGCAGAACGCAGCACAAGTGGACGCCAGGGCTAAGGTACGAGGCTGTGCAGCCTGTGTTTCTCCTGTATGCTTGTATCTGTTGCTGCCATTCAGTATTTCCTGAGGAGGTTTGAACTTAAGGAAAAGTTTCATAAAACATAATAAGATTAGATTAGCACACATAAGTGACAGATTTGGGTAGCTGGCTAGTAGTGTTACTTCCTTACCCACTGCTTCTAAACAATCATTTTCCTGTTTAAAACAAATATTGCCCTCTTTCTCCATTTGTCCAGGATGACCAGACACCCCTACACTGTGCGGCTCGTATGGGCCACAAGGAGCTTGTCAAGCTGCTCCTTGAGCACAAGGCCAACCCAGACTCAGCTACAACTGCAGGCCACACACCTTTACACATCTCTGCGCGTGAAGGACATATCCACACTATTCGAATCTTGTTGGATGCTGGGGCACAGCAGATCAAGATGACAAAGGTAAACTCGTTGAATCTGCATTAATGATCACTCACTACAAGAAACATTCAGTCCCAACTGTGCTACATTAGGCGTTATGCTTGGAGACCTTACTTCTAATTTCTGGGATATTTGTATTAGAGAACCATCCAGTGAAAATGCATGAATTGTAATTGTCCTTCTTCAAGGGCTCTTCCTAGTTTATTTTGTGCCTAATTGTATCTAGTTTATTAAATTTTCCTCCTCATCCATAGTTTCCTTCTATCACACACACTGAGTTTATTCATGTTGGGTTTTTGTAAAAATGCATATTTTCTAAACTGCATTAAAATTAATGAGAAAACTAGCATGTCTCTATTTTTTCCAACAACAGTGGGTATAATCTACCACAGTATCAAGCATGGAATATCTCTCTCCTGATTTTGTTTTCTTTTGAGCAGAAAGGCTTCACTCCCCTCCATGTGGCCTGTAAATATGGGAAGGTGGACGTGGCTGAGCTCCTTCTGGAGCGAGGAGCCAACCCTAATGCAGCTGGGAAGGTGAGACATTCTGTGCTTCCTGTAGTTCAGATCCCTCAAGTACACAAAAACAATAAAGCAGCAGCTGATATCTGAAATTATTTTTTTATGGGCTCAAGCTTTAAGCTAGAATTTCTCTTCACAGTCTTGTCAAGAGAAATTCTAGCTTAAAGCTT